TCAAAAATAAAATGCATATAAATTCGCCTCAAATGAGACATTACATCCCAAAATCACATCATTTTAATGCCAAAACCAAAATACATTCTCCAGTAAACTATGGGATCAGTTTTGAGACAAGTGTTGGTTCACCACTCGAAAGGTCTTTCCAAACAAATGACACAAAAGAAGAAATAAATACATTTTCCAAATATTCTGAGTCTATAGTAAATCGAAAGCCGAAAAGTGGACCCAATTATTCTGTGCGAATGGATGAGAGCATCGATTCAATGCATATCATGAAACCCTCACTCTTCCAGACCCTCGACAGTGAGAACCGAAAGAAATGGTTTGAAACTTACGCTAAAATCAAGAAAAGGTATACACAAAATGAGAAGACATCCAAAGATTATAGTATTGATGGATATAAACAACAAGATTATGAAAAGGATAATAAATTAAACACATCTTCCAATCAAATTGTCTCAAATTCAGTCATTTTGTTAAGATTATAGCAAATTATTTATCACCAAGTTATATTCAATCTCTCATTTTTGTCATTTTTAGATGACATTAAAATTATATAACATTTCATGTAAACTGTCTTTTGTTTAATTCCTTTTTAAATTAATAAATTATTTGATTTACTTTTTTTAATATTCATAAATTTTAAATGAAAGTTCGATAATTGGATGAAAGAATAAAAAATTTTGTAAAAACAAAAAACTAATTTATTATTAAAAGTTTAAGCATTTTTTGTCACAAAATTAATAATTTCAAATTATCATATATGAAATATTTTTGATACAAATCAATTGACAACTGATTGCGATTGTATTCAATATGAAACCTAATGATTACTGACTAATCCAAGTGTTTATTCATTTCACACCTAATAATAAACTTAAGTGACAACTTATTGTGAGCAGTGATTGCAATCATTAGTCTATAATTTCAATTAATAAGTGTTACAAAATGTGTAGTTTTAAGTGAAAACGTGACTATAATTCAGTAATTTTGCTCAACTATTGCTTTCACTACAAGTTTTTGGCTTCAATTGTAATGATTTGTCACAAACTGTAAGAAATGGAAAGAGTGTTTGGTTTGCATTCATTCCTACTTTGAATTGAGTTATGAATTCAATTGTCATATAATTATTAATTCATTATTAAATTAATTGAAATGTTTGCAAATAATCACAGTTTGAGTGACTCTTCGAGAGCTCCCATCAAACCATCGCTTCATGTCTTCAATAGTCATCAAATTGTGTCGAAAAGAGTGAATCCAAATGTCACTCATTTGACACCATTTCGAGTCAATCACAACCAATTGATGCCTCACTTGTCCATCAAGTCTTCATATGACCAGCAAATGGATCAGTCGATTGTCAACAAGAGTGGTCTCAATCTCACCAATGCTTTAATGAATGAGATAACGCGGACTCCTTCGTTGTCATCTGATCCATGTCTTGGCAAACAGTCCAACGCAATGATGGATGAGTCCATTGATTTCACCACAAATTGGTCACAAAGATGTCTTGAGTCAAGTGATGGTCGAAATGCATCACAAATGACTCGTCTCTACAACTCGTGTCCGTCTTCTCCGCGTCTCAAGCGTTTCAATGGATTCAATGAACAATCGTTTGTATCGGACATGAAATGTGAAGATGTGGTCACTTTTGATGGATTGCATGGAAAAGATGTTATCTTAAGCGCTGACAGAACTCAAGTCTATAGACGTGAAGACAATTGTTTGTCCGCCAATTGCTATGCATTTATTGGACACGAATTGCGATTCGGTTTCGATATAACAGTTGAAATCATTTCAGTCGAAAATTTGGATCCGATTTACAAACAAATGCCCAGAAGTACTATATTTGGTATAACAGACTGCAGGCCATCGAAACTCAATGAGACTGACCTTCCGGACGATCCGCATCTATTGGTCGCCAAAACGGATCAGATGTGGACTCTTGTGGATAACTTTTGTGATAATTGTTGTCTAAACGACAAATTAACGTTCAGAGTAGACGATAAGGGATTCGTTAGTTTTAGTCATAATTTCAATGCATTTTCAATACTATTCCCGATTCCGAAGAGAAACCAAACGGAGAACTTGTGGCCACTCTTTAACTTAATCGGAAGAATTAAAGCTTTAAAAGTTATTAACACTTTTTGTAGTAATATTGAGCCCAAAATGCAATTGAATGCCACTTTATTAAAACCTAATTCAAATGCATTGACCAAACATTTATATAAATGCATAAATTGTTGGTCAAACTATGCAAACACTGCTTTCTATAGATGCGGTCATAAGTATTACTGCTATAATTGCGCTAAAATATGCTTTAATTCGTACAAAACGTGTCCATTTTGTTACCAAACAATATTTGATTTGATTATTATATTCCCTTAAATGAAATCAAAACAAAATAATATTCATTTGCTTATCATTTTCAATACATATCAGAATATTCTTACAATTTTTAATTCTATTATTTCGTAATGGTTTTTAACTACAGTACAGTTGATCCAATAAATAACAAATGTCACACCATTTCCTTTATTCATACCGTAGTATTTATTGTAATCTTTCGCATATTAGTAGACATTTCAATATTTTAACTCGTTTTTAATAAAATGTTTTATTATTTTTAATTCCATTATTTGATTGGTAATAATTATTGCAAAAGTATTGATAGAATCGGTCATAATTTTATTTGATAAAAATAATTGTAATAACATAACTATAATTACGTATAAATGTTATACTAGTTTAGTATTTCTCTCTAAAACACAGACAAAGAAGCCGTTAGTGAGTGTTGTGTTTATGTCGGATCGGATGCATTTGGAGGCGAAGTCATAGTCGCCGACCCCTCGAACCGGCCATTCGGGCAGAGCGTCGACAACCGTGTAGTTAATGGCGGCCTCCGTTTCCCTGAACGCAGATTTGACTACATTTTCGTTTTCAATCAAAGAGAGAGAACACGTCGAGTAAACGATTCGTTTCGCTCCTAAAGACATCGCGTGACACAACATTCGCGTCTGAAATGAGGCCAACTTATAGAGTCGGCCCTTATTCTCGCCGCCTTTCCTATAGTCCACTCTCCCATTCATTCCCGAACCGGAACAGCTCGGGTCTAACAAAATGGCGTCAATTGTTCCGATTGATGATAATTCTTCGGCCGTCACTGAAGTAAAATCCTTGCAATTAATTTGACAACAAGTGACGCCATTTGTCTCAATGATTGTCTCCATTTCATGGATTCTTTCTTCGCTTTTATCATAAGAAACAATAGTTCCGTTGTTTTGTATTCTGGAAGCGATTGCTGTTGTCTTCATTCCGGGCGCACAACAGATGTCCAGAATTGTCATTTCGGGCATTAATTGCAGACATTCGACAGCAATCAAACTCGCCTTTCATTTGACAAATAAAGAGTGAGATAAAGATACAGCAAAAGTCATCATTCATTCATACCTTGTCTTGCATTACAATTTTGGTTTCATTGAAAAGTCTTAACTCTTGTAAAGGTTTCGTTGCGTTTATGTTAAACACAAGTAAATCATTTTGAAAGTCATAATCGATTAGAAAATCATTTTCGTCTAAATTAATCGCCAGTTCTTTAAATCTAAAATTAGATTAAAATACAATTTTAAATGTTTTACAAGAATTAAGATTGCATTTTATAATTAATTACTCTTCAAAAGTTATGTCACATTTGTTGTAATCTATTTGTTTAAAGCCATTCTTCACGAGTTTGTTGATTACTTTTTTAATATTAGTTTTAATGAGATTAACGCGAATATAGCGTACGCCTGCCTTACGGTCCGATCCACGGCTTCCCTTAAAATCTAAACAATTCATGGATTAATGAATGAATGATTGATGTAATGATTGTCCAAATAAAATACTTTTTAAGATATGTGTAAACTTGTCGTGAAATGAGACAATATGTCTGACTTGTGGCACGTCTTTAAGTCCGACCAGTTTTTTGCCAAACATTAGATCCGCAATCAGAATCTGCGTTAAGAACTCATCGATGGAGTGATCGTTACCATCGTTGGCATCGCTCATGCTTTTCATCATTTGCTTAATTATCTTCACGTTTTGTATGGTTTTCATAATCAAAGCGTAAATCAGTTTAATATTCTGTCGACAATTAAAGGCAAACATATTGTAAATCATTAATCAATTCAATGAAAATTCAATTCAAATAACAATTAAAACAAACATTTTTGTTGTTATTAATGGTAGAAATCAATGAATTCAAAGATCCCTTCCTTTCGTCCATTTGTTTCAAGAGTCGCGAAGCCATGAGATATGACTTCGGCATTGATTTGTGTCCACTCGCGTCGGCCATCGCACTCCTCGTAATCACAATTACTTAATAACTATAGTAATCAACAAATGAACACATTTTTCAAACAAATTGCCATTTCTTTCGCAAAACGTGTTCAAAAAGCGTACGTTATTTACGAATGACTTTAGAGTAATGTTTGTCTCAATCCATACAAAGAGTGAAAGCAATTGAATAATAATTATTGTCTCATATTTTGATTGCCATTATTTTGGACACCAATTGTACACCAATTGGACAATCGATTGAATCCCTGGCTTTTGGTTATCATAAAAATGATGTCACGATCCGTGAGAGCAGAGACCAGATCCCGGGCTAAGGATGACATCAAGCGAGTGATGCAGGCCATCGACAAAGTGAGGAAGTGGTTAGTTAAGTGGTCAACCATACCATCGCTCCAACTCTTAATCACTGTCTTATCCATTGATCTAAAGGGAGAAGAAATGGGTGACAATCGGCGACACAACGATGAAGATATATAAATGGGTTCCCATTACTAACTATGAGAGCGTATGTCACTATGAAATGCATGAATTGATTGAATATTAATTGTTTGATTGATTTGACGGACAGAGCGGTCGATCCAAAGGCAAGACGAGCAGTACATCCAGTAATGGTAACAACAATAAGGAGAATATTCGCGAATCGAAGTCTAATTCTTCGCGAACCTCATCGCTGCTGGCGGTGGCCAACGATGACTCCATCACCGGATTCAGTGAATGCAGTCAAGAAGACAATAATGTGAATGACATGTCAAATATGTCTCAATTGGGTGTTAGTATGGCTGACGAGACGTCTAATATGAGCGCCAGTCTTCTGGACAACAGCACTGACGCCCAGTTTCCCGACAACTGCGACAATAACACCAATGACTCCAATTATAGAGACTCGAAGAGAGAGTCCGTCCAAAACGACAACAACTCTCCTAAGAAACAAAAGACTTGAATGTCATGTCTTTCTCTCTCATCTATACTTTACACTTAAATTAATTTAAACTTTATTTTAATTTTATTTTTAGTGTTATATGAAATTAACATAAATTTAAATAACTTTTACAATCATTTAATTTAAGTTAAATTTATTTGTCAAGTAAACAAAAAATTCGCCACAATTTTGTGATTTATATATTTTAAGTTTAATTATTTACAAAACTTTCAGTATTTATCAATTATTTTCTCAAATTTTGGTCATTAAATAAAATCTACATTTAAAGATGTGTTTAACTGTAAATACCATTGAATTGGCATTAAATCAATGTTTGGATCATTAAATGAGACTTTGGTTTGAATCCGAGGGATACATACGATTCTCAATGCCTTCCGACACTAAATTCAATTCTTTGATACCATTGTTGAGATACAAGACGTCGTCTTTAATCTTCTGCGTCGGACTGAAGAACATTTGTCGACAACAAGACCTTTGAATCACATTTTAATTATCAAAACATTTTCCATTCAAATCACGATAAATACTGGTTATGAATAGCGTTGGCCAACAATCTTAGGCTTTGTCTCAATTACTTGCAATTTGAACCCATTTTTAATTTCAATTCAGTCTAATAATTGAAATTTATATATTCACTCGGACACTATGCCCCCCATCCCCAGGATTGCATGTTCCCCTTGTGATATAGACTTAACATGGGTAATGTTAATCCTATGGTTATATTAATTATATGGGAAGTCAAAAATGAAAGGAAAAAGTAGTTTTTCAAATCCTATGCTAAGTCTATGATATTTTGCCTTTTCAATGTTAATCCTATGGGTAATTGGTGTAATGTAATTCGAGTGGGATTTTGAATGCACCTCCCGAATTTGAATTGATCGCTTTGCTCTGCAAAACCTTTTTGTGCAAAGTATTGAAACAATATTACAATACTTTTATATTGTAATAATTGTTATCAAACTCATAGCAATGAGACGAAC